CCCCCCCCAAATTCGGAGCTAGGCCTGGCGCCGCCACTGGATCTACCTGAGTGAATAACGTACACTTATACATATGTATAATGCCTAGTTACCTTCGTTCTATTCTATGCTTCTACGATTGTTACGATTGTTCTATGTTCTATTCAGCGTTTCTTTCATATGTTTGTTGTGTGATAAAGTGATAAATTCAAAAAGATTTATGCACACAACTTTAATTCTCAAAGAAATCGCTTTCTTCAAAAACAAAAGTGTGGTTTTAGTTCTCAAGAAGTGCGCACATCAGCTTGAAAAATGCGCACAAAATGCTTCCTTGCGCACAGCAAACCTAGAAGTCTTCTTGAAAATCTTAACTCTAAACTGGTTGGGTATAATGGTAATAACTCAGTTCTCGGAGTCAGAAAGAAATGCACCAGATTGACAATGTCATTGATACAGAGTTCCTTCTCGCGCTTCTTGATGGTCACAGCTTGTCTTCAGAAGTATGATCGTCAATAACTTTCATTGCCTACGCAACCCTAACCCTAACCAATTATTTTCATTGCCTACGCAATTCGCGGGTGGTCTTGATATGCCAATCCTTGCCAAGACCTGACAAGATTAAAAAAGAAAAGGTCATCAACTTTAGAGTTAGGGGTTAGGGTATGGGTTGAACAAAAATAATTCTGGAGAACTGTTTCCGACCACCCGATTCCCCAGGTGAGATGCCTGCGGACTGCGGAGGAAGCTGTAGTCACCTTACCTTTATTGGGTTTTACGATTTCCAGCAATCTATTGCCTTAACCTTTTGTTATGAACAAATAAATTGAACTGTTTAGCTGCACGTCTCATTAACGATTATATTTTTCAGTCTCTTGTGGCAAACGTTGGCGTCCTTTGCTGCTTTTTTTTTACTGTTTTAGCAAGTCTTTCGACTTTTTTCCCATCTTCTTGCTGGTTTTCGTTTGGTTCCATCATAGGCAGCCCAAAAATCAGTGTTATTAGGCACCAGCCAAATTATAAAAAGTTATTGCTAGGGTACGTGGGCCGGAGGGAATACGGATGGGCCATCGACAGTTGATTCAAAAATTGGCCGGTTACGCGGCTTTGGTGGAAACCTTTTACAAATTACAATGGCTGAGGTCCTATCTTTCTAAACGCGCCAAGCACGTCACAGTCACTGGATGGACGCCCAGTAACATCAGGTGTACCTCAAAGGTCAATTATCGGACCGATGCTGTCTTTGTTATTCGCTAATGATTTAAGCCAGTTTTCCACTTCAATCGTATCGTACCGAAACGTAGCGTATTTCTTTGTTTCCTGAGCGGTAGTGTGGAACTAATGATTTCGACACAAAAGAAAATGATACGCGGTAGGTTACGATAGGATTGTAGCTTTACCGAACATGGTTGTGTCCAGCAAAGTTGCAATATTTGCGGACGATACCAAAGTTTTCAAGATTGTCAAATCACATAATGACACTTCTGAGTTGCAATCAGATCTGAATTCATTATTAACTCTTGGACGAAAAATGCGGGCATGACGTTCAATGAAAAAAGGGCAAAACAATCCGATTACCCGCAAGCGTAACCCAATTGACAGCAATTTCATGCTGGATGACTACCCTCATGACTCCAGCAAGTCTGAGAAAGATCTGGGTGTGTGGGTCACTGACAACCTAACCAGGACAAAGCAAGTGACGGAGCAGTGTACAAAGGTCAACAAAGTGCTAGGATTCAACAGACCGAAATTAAGAAGCATAACGACTACCAGTATAAGGCGCTTGATGTACATTGCTCTCGTGCGGCCCACCTAGGATATGCCACTCAGGTATGGGCACCGCAGTTGAAATATCTAATTAGGAAAACTGATCGTGTCCAGCGTCGTTGTCCAGCGTCGTGCGACTAAGTATATATTAAAGTTGTCGTTCTACTGTGTATAATCGTATAGGTATCAAAATAGATTGGTGAATGTTTTTGTGCAAAAAGCAGACTTTGTTTAAGGACCAAACGTTGTTTTGTGTGACAAATCATTGTTTGTCGGAAATGCAATGTATCATAAAACAATTATTGATATCCAGAATTATCAAGATCTCAGTATAAGTGTTATAATTCGGATATGACAAAAACCTCATCCATTAACAGTTTATTATTAGTTTGCAATGTCGTCCATAAAGTGTACCAGTCGCCAACCAGCATATATAGATCAGTGGACTACTGGACTGAGGTCCATAATTTATGTCAGTGATTTATGTCTACACTAGAGGTGTGAATCGGATCGGATTGGACGTTTATAATCCGACAATTGGCTAATGTTTAAAACCCGATCCCGAAATTGTCTAATCTGAATCCGATCCGAGTTCTGATAAAGAATTCCAATCCGATCCGAATAATTCTTTAATAAAATAAATTTCTCAATCAAATTTAAATATTTAACCAAATAAATATAAAAGCAATAAATACATGTCGAGAAGCTGACAAAGTGACGTCCAATTGAAGTATCAAACGAAAAATGCAGCGACAACCGCGATAATGCTTTGATATAATAAAAATGCATGGATAATTAAATCTTGCCGTAATGCGTAGATAATTATTCATTTTGTTTCGGATATCGAAGTCTGATCCGATCCGACTACGAAACAACTTTATCAATCCGATCCTATCCGAAATGAATATTTTGGTTCCGAAATCCGAACGAATCCGATCGGATCGGTTTTTCGGATTTGCACACCTCCGGTCTACACCTACCCTGGATTCCAGAGCCTTCGAAGTAAATAATAAATTGAAATGTCGCGAAGGCTCTGGTTCAACGGGGCGATTCTTTGATTAAACCGCGCCAATCACAAAACAGAATTAGTGGTTTTAGTACAGAATCTGTACTAAAACCACTAATTCTGTTTTGTGATTGGCGCGGCTTAATCAAAGAATCGCCCCGTTGAACCAGAGCCTTCGCGACATTTCAATTTATTGTTTACTTCGAAGGCTCTGGAATCCAGGGTAGTCTACACCTCTGGTCTACACTATATCAACTATATCTATATTTCGCTAACATGACGTATTAACAACTCTGTTAGTATTTTATTAAATTCGCAGCACGAAAAGATATTTTTATTGAATTCGAAGATTTATTTTTTGGCTTTTGTACTGGTAGTGTGGTACTATTTTAATTAAACATATCGTTTGTAAAAGCAACAATAATATTGAAGCAGCAATAATTTTGTATTGTGTTACTGTTGGATAATTGAAAGGAAATAATGAGCATAACAATACGTGGTGAAAATATCACAGAGTCGTCCAAGTGAAACAGCGCTGCTATGCCACGAATTCATCTTCGCCGCAAGGCTATTTTTTATCTGCTTGTGATAGTCATCGTTATTTTGGTTGTTTTCAATGTCTTACGCTGGGACAACCGTGTGTCGTTGGATAAATTAACCGTCAACTCGTCGATGAAACGGTTAATTCAGAAATTGGTCCCTAAACCAAAGCGTGTGTTGACGTTCGAAATTGGCAGGCCAAAGCCAGAAGGAAAACCGTCAGTTTGTCAGTTCACCCAAAGCGATGGCCTTGAACTCCTTGCAGAGAACTATTTATACCCTGGGGACATTCCAGTTGAGAAGAAATGCTCAGAAACCAGTACAATTATATGTGCTATAAGTGGTTCCTTCGGGTCCTTTCAAGTCAGCTGTGAACACAACCCGTGTAGTTCGACTGTCAAAGTTGGATCACTGATTAAAGAGACTGGTCAAATTCAGTGGGAGGATGTCAACTCGAGTAAACTCGAAAAATTTATCCAAGAATTTGTGCTTAAAAATCTAGACGAAATGTATCCGTTCTTCTATTTAAAATGTGGTGATACCACAAAACATAATATTGCTAGCCAAGCAACCCAGTTAGTCTCAGTACCCCTTGCTATACCTATCAATACCTCACATGCTACTAAAAAGGACATTAATGTTAATATTCTATTTTTGAATGCAGTCTCAAGGAGGCACTTTTACAGGTCCCTACCAAAAACAATAGCAGCATTTCGTAACATTAACCTTAACCCAAAATCTACTTCAAATGTTTTAGATTTTGAGCTGTATCAAGCCTTGGGGGCAACATCCCAAGAAACCCTTTTGGGATTTGTCACAGGCAGGAATAACAATTCTCAAAGTACAACAGAAAAAACCTTGCTGAATCACTTTAAGCAGACTGGGTACCAGACCCTTTGGCAAAATGACAAGTGTTGGAAATCCGATGTCGATTTTGCCTGGTACTTTGGGATTCATAATTCAAATATTCAAAATAACTTGGAAAATTTGAAAGTTAAATTGACATCAGATAACATAGATTCACTTGGTCTCACACATTCAAGCTGTGTTAAGTATGTTGAGAATACTGAAGAAAATAATAAATTAACAAATTGGCAGATTTGTATCAATGGAAGGTTCCAACATGATTACTTTTTAGACTATATTGGACAATCACTAAGTGAAGTTAATAAGAACCCTTCATCAAGGCCTCTGTTTTCATTGACATCTTTAAGCTTGGGGAAAGAGAAAAGTGGTCGTCATATCCAAGTGTTAGATAATTCTCTAGCTACCTTTGTGACAAAAATGGCTGCAGACAAGAATACCATCACCATTTTAATATCCGACCATGGTAACACCTTTGACATGTTCCCAGTGCAAACAATGGAAGGTCAATATGAACAATACAATCCATTTTTATTTATGGTTTTACCAACTTTTGTTGCATGGCGACTTGGAGAATCTAAGAAAAAGATCATACTTAACAACCAATTAAAACTTATCTCAATTTCTGATATCCATAATATGGCATTATCTTTAGTGGAAAACCAAAAACATTCAAATGAGTCGCACGATCATGGACTGTTTACAGAAATTGATGCTAATAGGAACTGTGCTCATCTTCATTTGTCCTCATCATCATTGTGTATTTGTGACGGTTGGGACTCAATGCAACAACCAAACACATTCCATTCCATTATTGCCGAGTTTGCTTTAGGTCGGCTCAACAACTTGATTGCTAACCAATACACTAACCAAAAGACTCAAGAAGCACCATTTGTTACATGTGAACGATTAAAGGGGGTGCTATTAAGGAACATTAGTCAGAAGAGAATTGAAAATGGGTACATTATTACTCAAATTGATATTTATGTCCAAAACAATGAGCTATTTAGTGTTAATGTCAAATGGCATGGTGATAACAGTCCAGCAATGGAAATGGCACTAGTTAACTATAAAAGAAAGCATTCTGATGTTGAACATAATTCTTGCTCAACATACATTGACAGAGACCTATGTGTCTGCCATGTTAAGTTGAAAGAAAGCAACTCTGCCAAAATCATACTAAACTGGAAAAAGTATGGCAGTGTATTTGGAAAGAGGACAAAGGTAGACAATCGGCACAACCATTGCCTTTATATTCTTTCTAGGGATTATGGAGTGAGCACAGTGTTTGAAGCTGCAAATATGTGCAATGATGGTGAATATAATGTGAGAATGAATTTTGAGTTAGAGAACATGAGAACACCTGGGGAATTACCAGTTAATGTGACTATCCCTCCAATGTCTATTGAATTTTTAACATTTGTTATGCCTCTGCATTTGACTAATCCTGGCACCTGGGAATATGAGGTAGACTTTTCACTTAACATCAAATGAAATATAATTATAACTGCATACACAAGCCAGTTTTCTCACCTGCACTTTTAAGATAATCAGAGTCAAAGTTCTTGTTGCTTTAATTAAGCAGCTGATAAACTGTTGAAAATCTGAACGAATAAGTTTCCTTGCAGATTTATGTTCCAATGTATATGTTGTTAGTCAATGAATGTTGCATATCTTTGCGTCTTCTGATTTGAAACATGGAAACATATACAGCGTGTTTCAAAAAGGTAATAAAGAACAGGCTTTTACTAGTTTTAGCTGTCGACTGACATCTTTATGGAAAAATTGCGATAAAAAATGACCAAATACGATCTGATTTAAAGTGATCAGTTGAATTCACAATCTTCCAATTTTCGAACATTTACCCAAAATTCCAAATGTTTGTTGCCCATTCGGGAAACATATGCAATTGTGAGTCCAGTGGGTCTGCAAACGTCGCGCTTCTCATGACTTGTGCCAAACGCATTAGAAACAATAGATAATGAGGCATTCCAGCTGATTAGCTATTGTTTTAATGCGTTCGGCACATGAGAAGTGCGACGTTTGAAACAGGCCTTAGCCACTTTAATAGACACTTCAAGTCATCAAGGAGAGAGCTCGCAAATGTTAGAATAAAAAGATTGACAAACGTTAAATGTCATGATGATAATGAAATGTTAATAGTGTACATTTTCCTTATGTGTAGTCCAAATTCTTCCTACTGTGAACTTTTGTTAGACACAAAAACGTTTGATATTCTATCTCTCTGAAAACGACTGAGTTGCGGTTCCGGCCATGCTTTTTTTTTGTTTCGGCCGGAACCGGAACTTTGAAAAATCGGGGTTCCGGCCGGAACTAACCGACCTGAACCCCTAAGCGACGGACCATTAGATATTTGAGGGGGTGGTTGCAGAAATCAAAAAAAAAAAATTCGAGCAAGCCTTTATCCTTCAAAAAAAAAAACGTGCGAGAAGAAAACTTGAAAAAAAAAATTCGTGCAAGCATCCATCCTATGAGAGACAACTCCAATTCCTGGACCCCTATTTGGAACTTCTGGATATAAAATATGAAGAATACATATGACAATCCTGATGATCACCCATTATTGCATTATGCAAAGCTTCCAAATTTGTGAAGGCACAGGAGTTTTAAAAATTAAGGCGACGAAACCTGCGAACGGGCATACGGGCTGTATGGCCTGCAGAAGGTAGGGTATATACTTCATGTCCTAGGGCTATGGCCAACCCCACACATAAATTCATTATAGCTGCAAGACATGAAGTACATACCAAAAGTTGTACGCCGGACAACCATTGGGTCTGAGGTCTGAGAGCGCGGATAATCTGCCTTGATTTATTGCATATTAATAACTAATACCACAGAGTAAACAGATTTGTTTATTCTGTGGTAATACAGAACCCTGGAACAGGCCTTCAGATTGCCGACCAGCCTGCAGCCACCGTTCGGGCTACCATCTCTCCAGCTGCCTGTACCTCATGTCAAAGATATTGTAGATGAATCTGGATAAGTGCACGCCTTAAAATTATGACCTGTTCTTAATTATTAAATCAGGACCTGTATTTTTGTTCAAAGGCAATCGTTTACAGTTTGTATCTAGTAACTGATTAATATTTGAAACTATGCCGGAAACAGTGGCGTAGCCAAGGGGGGGGGGGGGGGG